CTGTATGCTAACACATATGTATGGAATCTAAAAAAAAAAAAAAAAAGGTACTGAAGTACCTAGGGGCAGAACAGTAATAGAGACATAGACATAGAGAACGGACTTGAGGACACGGGGCGGGGGAAGGGTAAGCTGGGACAAAGTGAGAGAGTGGCATGGACATACATACACTACCAAATGTAAAATAGATAGCTAGTTGGAAGTAGCCGCATAGCACAGGGAGATCAGCTCGGTGCTTTGTGACCTCCTAGAGGGGTGGGATAGGGAGGGTGGGAGGGAGGATGATGCAAGAGGGAGGAGATATGGGGATATATGTATACATATAGCTGATTCACTTTGTTATACAGCAGAAACTAACACACCATTGTAAAGTAATTATACGCCAATAATGATGTTAAAAAAAAAAAATGGTTCCAGAAAGGTGATCTTGCCTAAATGAGAGAAGGCAGGAAATAGCACATTTGGGGAGGAAGGTGAAAATAGCCTAGGACATTCTAAATGGGGGTGCTGGGGAGACAGATAAATAAGGATCTGGGTCAGCAACATAAATACAGGACTCAGGGTTTGGAATAAGGTCACCATCATGGACAACTATGGTGACCAGGATGAGCACTACTCACCAGAAGAGAAAGCAGAGGATGAAGAGTGTCCATAAATGTTAGTACCACCCATTTCTAATTACCACGCTAATCTAGAGAGCCTGAGTCTTTCTTCTTTGAAATTATATGTGATAAACAGCATTTGAAACAAAAAGAGAAGAAAAATGCAAGTTCAAAAGCTCTTGAGCTCTTACCCCTTGTCAGCTTTCTGAAATGAAGTGGCCACTTTGACGATGTTTTCAAGATCCTGACCCCTTCAAACAAACAAACTCAAGTCAATGAAGGAGCTAAAATGTCTGATCTGTGTTCAGTGAAGAAAGCAAAACTCCAAGTGTTATCAGGAGTTACTGAGTTTAACTGAATAACAAAATAGTCTGTCATGTCAGCTCACGGCATTCACACACACACACACACACACACACCAGTCACTCCACCTGGGCATTGGCTCTGCCATCTACTGCTCACTGAAATAACTGCAGTTTCTCCTAAAGACTGATATTGGTTGTACACAATTTATATACTTAAAAGGATATGGATAAATTGGGAGATTGGTATTGACATATACACATTACTATATATAAAATAGATAACTAATAAGAACCTGCTGTATAGCACAGTGAACTCTACTCAATACTCTGTAATGGCCTATATGGGAAAAGAATCTAAAAAAAAAAGGGTGGATATTAAAAAAAAAAAAAGGATATGGAAAAAAAATTCAATTAACTGCAAAAGTAAACACAGAAACATGTTCCGAAGTTTTTCTACCAACCAAGGAGCATTAAGCAACATATTCAGATGATCAATTAGTCCCTTATATGAGGTGAAAGTATCTGTCTTCTTATGTTTCCAAAGGGAAAGAAAGTACATTTAAAACTGTAGCTGAGCTTGAATCCCCTCTGGTCTCCCTAGGTCATGAAAAGGAATAATTAGGGAAATCCTTACAGCTTTACCTGTAATTAAGACCTGTGCTTCATAAATGATATCTTAGAAAGTTAATAGGGTTCCACGAAGATAGAATTTTGTAGTCAAGTAAATTTGGGAAACATAACCGACTTTTAGAGATTTGGAATATGTATAAGCACACTGAAGGTTCTGGGAAGTTCATGATAGAGAGCTCTATTCCATTGTGTTTCCTAAACATGTAAGCCATTAAATGCTTCTTTCACAAAACATTCATTGACATCTTGTGGCACATGGGACATAGTTTGGGAAAGATAGAGATAGAGCTGTACCTTAAGGTACTAAGTACAGGGTACTCTCCCCAAAGGTAAGATACCTGTGTGATGCATGCCTGAGAGTCAAGGGAGATAATAAAGAAAATAAAAATATGTAAGTTTGGCACTTTGGAAAATGTGTTTCAGTCAAAAAAAATTGTCTAAAAAAATTGGCTTATTATAATGGTTAAGATGGTAAATTATGTTAGGTTTTTAACCATAATAAAAAAATTGGTTTATCATATTGATAGATCTATAAAATAACATTGTTCAAAAACTAATTTTAAAAATAGTGTTTTTCAAATAAATAAATAAATATCCAAAACAAGTACTAAATTGGATGGGATGTTCAAGACAACAGGCGTAAACCAGCACTGTCAGGGGGAAACCTTGCTCAAAAGCATCAGTGCAATTTGTAAGCCTTTTTCTGATGGTGCAGGTGAAGCTGAATATGATCTTGTCATACAGCCAGTTCTAGGCAAAGCTTTTGCAGATGTTCAATCAAATAACTATATTTCCACCTATTCACTTACACGTCAACAACAGCGGTTTTCCTGTCTTAAGGGGTTTAATCTTATTCTGTTATCATGTTCAGACAATTTTGGTTGCTCATAATGTAATGCTTAGAATAGAAATAAAAGTAATAAAATTCTGTAGGTACATATAAAAACATTTATTACCCACTATTGAAGTCAGCTGGAAAACTGATTTGTCTATTTTATTATTAATTTTAGGTATGTTTGTGTTCCAACAAAGCATACTTTATCATATCTACAATTACACAGATATAGATATATAGATATAGACCACTATACCTTATATTTCTTTCAGCAGATCTGCTGGTTTCTGTATATGCACTTGGTTTAGGTGGACATATCTGCCTATATTTTTCAAGTTAAAGATAATGTCTGTTAGGTAAGAAAACACTTCTCTGTTAGATTTAAATTTATGAGAAAACATTTACATTCAAAGAGATGAAAGTGTGTTTGAACAATACCACTACTGGAGATAAAAATCTTCTAAATATGTTCATGTTCATTTTATTTTAGTTTCCAGTCATCAATAAAGAATTTTTACACTTATCTCTATTAGATAATGATACAATATTTAAAAATAATAAGAATCAGGGCTTCCCTGGTGGCTCAGTGGTTAAGAGTCCGCCTGCCAATGCAGGGGACACGGGTTCCAGCCCTGGTCCGGGAAGATCCCACATGCCGCGGAGCAGCTGAGCCCGTGCGCCACAGCTACTGAAGCCCGCGCCCTGGAGCCCGTGAGCCACAACTGCTGAGCCCGCATGCCACAACTGTTGAGGCCCACGTGCCTAGAGCCCGTGCTCTGCAACGGGAGAGGCCACCTCAGTGAGAAGCCTGTGCACTGCAAAGAAGACCCAACGCAGCCAAAAATAAATAAATAAAATAAAAAATAATAATAAGAATCATTTTTTGTTAGGTATCAGAGAGATTTTTTTCTCAAAGACTTATCCCATTTGAATACTATCAAGAAATATGTTTTCTCAGATAAGATGGTAAAGACTTTCATATTTCCAGTACACCCACCACATTGAGAAAGACCACACTGAGTTGTTAGAATTAAATTTTACAGTACTAGGTTCTGTTACAATTTGTGATATAAGACTTTTCTCTGCTGTTTTTCTAAGTATCTGATTGGCCTACTTATACATTCTTGCTTGTTCTCAAGAAATTATATTCAACTATTTTTTTGTACTCCTGAGGACATGTGTTAATTACATAGGAAACACTTCCCTTTCATATTCTTTCATTAAAGTCATCTTGCTGTGATTAAAGTAATCAGGGTTTTAACATGCAAGTTGTCCTCATTTTATATTTAAGATCATTTGTGGAAGAAATAAATTAGAGTAGTAAAAATGGATTAGACCAGTTCCCACGGAATCTAGCTTCTTTTGAATCTGTACAAGGTCACTGCTCTAGAGTCCCGAGTTTTAGTTTAGAATTTAGGTGGTACTAACACCAACTTTTTTTAGCCCCCTAAAAAATCTTATTCAAATTAAGATTTAATTGTTCAGTACTATCAGAGTAAAAGGAAAAATAATGTAAGATAGAAAGCCTGAGAAGTTATTTTTAAGAGTATAATTATAACCGTTGCACAAATTAAAAATTATAAATCTGGCCTATATTTTAATTAATTCAATGAAGAAGTATTCTCTTAACATTAAAAAAAAGTATCTTCTCCTCCCAAGGACAAAATTTCAAAGGTACTGTGAAATTTCACTGAATAGAAATTCAGACCTGGGTTTTTAACTCTTAGGTTGAATGCCTAAAGCTACACAGCCCTGCCACCCAATCAGCATTTTCTGGCTGAAGTTACCCCCTTAATAAAGAATAGTTCTCAAATTGTCTTACATGTTGTCAAAAGAATCACCATCAAAAAGTAAAAATACAAAAGAATCAAAGGCAGGCCATTAAGCAAATCTAATGTATTCAGTCTTCATTGAGATACCATTTTTAAAATCTCTCAATAATAATGGAAATGTGCCATGTAGGTCTTGAAAAACAGTTCGATACGATATGATTAAACTGTTTAACAGGAACACATGGGAAGATGTTCAGATCTCTGAATTTGTTTTTAAGTATTAATTATAGAGCACTGGAGATTCAAAGTAGAAAAGCAAGTCTGTCTTTTTTTCTTGGTTCGGAGACAAGTTAATTAGAACATTTTTTCAAATTTTGTGATAGTTTTGAAATAAATTACAAATGTCTCAATTAAAATAAGACTAAAGAACTACCCACTTCGTGGACATGACTACTGTTTAGTTTCTATATTGAAAGTACTTCCATAAGACAAGTAATGGCCATAAGTATCCAACGACAAACATAAATACACGTTTGTGTGGGCAAATAGAATTAGAAAATCTTTCCAAGTGCTTCTTCAGTGAATATGCACACAAAACATACCCATGATTTGCACAAAACAAGTCACAATTCATTTGCTTTCATTTCCCTTGAACTTCATTTTGCAAGAAATTCTGGAGTGCTAGGTCTTACCTGTTATCCCGCCTCAGCTGGTTAGGAGATGAAACAGGAGAACTGGGCTTTGGAGGTATTGGAGGGTGAACAGTTGGTTCCCTTTAGAACAGAAACAGCAGTTCATTTCACCATGGAAACACGTAAATTTTAGCATCTATTCACCAAATGCATTTATTGTCTATATGGAAATAGCTCATGCATCTTACAACCCTTGTGCATGAGCTACCTGAAAGGCCAGGATCTTTGGAGCTCTAAACTTTAAATAAGTCAAATTACAGGTATTTTAAAAGTTCATTTAATCAGATTTTTGGAAACCCTGTCCTCCCCAACTATAGTTTGAAACATAATGTGTTCTTTAAACAGCTTAATATTTTACTAGACTGTCTCACTCAAGTTGTGACATTTTGGGTCAGCAGTGCACAGCATAGTAAATGGTTCTTGGGCATTAACATATAAGCTTCTTTAGGAATTATGCCAACTATCGAGCTGCTACGGAAACAGCAAGAAAGGTTTTTAATTGCACAGACCTCAAGGTGAAGTTGATTTGAAGCTCTTAACTAAATCTGACTTAAATATTGTCAGCACAGGCCAGTTTGATGCTGGCAAAGCTTACACACACTGTCAGCCTAAACTTTCCAACAAAGTGCCAAGGCAGCCTCTGAGCTGGCATGATTTGATCACCCAGGAACTAGAGCAGGCAATTATGGGCATATATGGGATGCAGTCAGAACTTTATCTAGGGCATGTCACCCCCCCACCCTGAAACTCCCACCTCAGTGGTTCCCCATTATCCTCAAGATAAATTCCATGAAAGTATCCCTGTGATCTAGACTCTCTGTACCCCTCTGGCTTCTGCAGCACCTTAGGGAGCAGGTAGGCTCTGGGGTCAGGCTGCCTGAATTGCCAGCTGTGTGACAATGGCCTAAACTGATTCCATTTCTTCATTTGTAATAACTCTTCCAATAGGATTGTTGGGGTGTTGTCAGGCCTGAATGAAATCATGATTTTATCTAACACATTTATTGGTAGCTTTCTATGCACATGGCACTCTACAAAGTGGGTAATTCTCCTGTTCTCAAAAGGCTTTCAATACACAAATAAATATATGACAGATGAAGAAGAGTACTAAGAAGAAAATAAAACAGAGTAAGAGAATATAGAGTGATGGTGTGGGAACACCTGTCTGTGATGTGAAATTTGAGCCAAGACCTGAAGGAAGTGATAAAATGAGCCATGAGGATATCGGAGGAAGAGCATATAAATATGGGCATCATCAGGTTCGAGATGGCATCTAACCCTTGAAACTGGATGAGATCACCAAGGAAGTCAGTGCAGGTAGAGATGAAAAGAGGGCCAATCACGGACCCCTGATCCTTGCAATGTCCAGACATCAAGAATATGAGAAGGAAACAGTAAAAGAGTCTGAAAAGAAGTAGTCAAGGAGAAAAGAAGAGAAATATGAGGGTGTGGTTCCGGGAAGTCAAGTGAGACAAGTGTTTCAAGAAGCATTTGATCTGTCAAGTTGCATTTGGCCATGCCAAATGCTATGGACCGAGCAAATAAAACAAGAGTGGGGAGTTACCATGGTGTTGGCAATACGGTGGTCATTGTTAACCCTGATAAGAGCAGTTTTGATGGAGCAGTGGTGAAAAAACCTTCTAGGAGTGGATGTAAGGCAAAATGGGAGGCAGAGGCATTGATGTAGGTACTTCTTTTGAGGCATTTTGCAGTGAAGAGGGAAGAGAAAAATGGGAAGCTACCTGAAGGTTGATAGGTCAAGGAAGGTTACTAGAGTATGTAGATATGTTGATGGGAATGATACAGTTAAGACAGTAAATTTGATGGTGCAGGAGAGTAAGCAGAATATTGCTAGACTTGGGAAACCAGGAGACCTAGGGCACAAGGAGGGGGAGGTTGGTCTTGGATGGAAGCACAGAGAGCTCACTCATTTGATCCTCACTTCAATCCCAGAGATAAGTATTCTGCTTCTTTCTATTTTTACAGATGAAAAGACTGAGGCACAGAAAGTGAAAATAAATAACCCATGATGATACAGCTGTTAAGGGGCAGAGTGAGAAATCCAAACCAGGAAGTCTGGCTCCATAAGTCCTCCCCCAGCACTGCTGCCTTTCAAGGACTCTTTGGGCAACACCAATGGCTTAGTTGAGGTTAAGGCTCATGGAATTAAAATAACTAAAATAAAAATAATTTTCTTTTGCCATGTTCAGCTGCTTTAGGAGCAGGAATGGACTAAACAGAGAGTTGGATTTAATGAAGTTTCTAATTCAGCCAAGAAAGTGGAACAAAGAATGATGACAAGGGAAGGGGTATGCAAGGAAGTGATTACAGCGAGGGAACGTGGGATCTGAGACGGACATGGAGGGAACTGAGGATATGAGGGGAGAGGAGCTGTTGAAAGATGGTAGAATCAATGGATTGGTGGTTGTGGTGGGGCTGGAGAACTGGAATCAGAGGACTAGCGGGACTGAGCTGGATAGAGTAGATAAAGCGTGAGTAGATAGAAAATGGAAGCCAGAAAGGGAAAGCTTTGAAATTGAAGTTTTGTAGTGTGTGTGGTTACTTACAAGGGCAAGATCTACCGGGGGCTGGGGTAGGACAATGGACAAGATCATTGGAGAGAAGATCAAGAGAGTGAAAGGCCAGGATGGGGAAGGATCCACTATATGGATTTGGGAATCAGCAGGCATTATGACAGGAGGGGTGTTTGTGGGAGACGATGAATCCAGTGCCAAAGTCTCCACGGAGTGAGGGTGAGTGGCTCAGAGACCTTCGGATGACTCCAGTGAGGAAGAGAAGCTCATGATGGCGTGGCTTCAAAGAGGATGAGGAGTTTTAGGGAGGAGGGAGTTAAACTTGATAGGAACTAGCAATATGGAGCAAACAGGATCCCGCCTCTTCCTCCAGACCCTGTGATACATGGGATTAGAAGAAAAGCAGCCCTCACTGAGAGACGAGCCTGAAGAGGAGCAAGTTTGGATGATACTGAATGATGTATCCAGGAAGGTTCAGTGAACAGGTTTGAGGGGTTGGGATGCTGTTAGGTTGGGTCATGTTCAGCGATGCACAGAGCTCTGTGGGGATGGTCCAGGTGACAAGAAATGATCTGATTGGCGTTCCCATGGGGATCCATGGCCACAGGGATGGGGGACATGAAGGAATTAGTCCTGAAGCTTTCTGGCAGTGTGGTAGTGAGTTCCTGGGTGATGGGGAGTGGGGAAGCAGACACAGAGCCTGGTGGGTCTTCTGGTTCTTGTGTTGATGGTGGCTTTGAAGCCAGCAGGAGGGCATGCAAAGCATTAGAGCACCTCCTGGCTCAGTTTAAGTGCTGTGGCTGTTGTGCTCGTCCCATACAAACCCAGCGCTGTAGCTGGGCCAAACCACTTGCACTTCCTAAACCCATCTCACCACAACAGCACATTCTTTCTTCTCTCGGGCATACCTCCTTCTCCCTTTCACCTGGACACTCGCCTTACCCTTCAGACTCTATCTTGGGGATTACTGTCTGTAGTGGTACCCAACGCTGTGGTGAATACATTTCTACGTCTTCCCATAGCACACCTTCTTCACAACTCATACCATGCTGTTCTGAATTACACAGAATTTTTTTGTTTCCACCCTGCCTGGACTGAAAGCCCTAAAAGGATAGTTGTATCCCAAGTACTAGGATTATATATGATGTTGGTGCCCAAGAAAGATGTGTTGAAAGGTGGAGGGATTGGCTGAAATTCTATTTGGTAAGGAGGAAAATGGGTACTGAAGAGTGGCCTAAAACTTTAAAAATCTGTTCAAGTTTAGCTGTCCCACAGAAGTCCATTGTTGATTCCACTACCTAATACCTAGTAGGTGCTGGGCGCTAAGATGAGTTATTGAGTAACATGATATGCCTGGAAAAAAATAATTTACAGGATAATAGTTGCCCCATTCTAACCTAATGCTAGATTTTACAATTAGATATTATTTTATTTATATTGATTACCATCATCTTCCCTTCTCAAAACATATCCCTGCATCGGGAATAATTTAATGTCACTCAAGTGATAATGTGTGTTTCATGTATCTGTGTCGATTAGCTGATTATATGCTTCTCTTCCAGGGATAGAGGAAAGGGTAAGAAGGTGCAGTCCCATCTATTAATGACAAGGCACTGGATATCTGAAAACAGGCAGGAGAGCAGTAACAAGAAGGAAGGGAGGATTACAAAAAAGGAGACAAGGGATGGTGCCCAACTTTGCTTATGCCAGAATCACATTGATAAAAAGCTAAATTTCTTCCATGTAAAGTGGCTAAGCCCTCAAAGAGGCGGATAAATATTGACTGTGTCTGAGAGTCAAAGATGAGTAGAGAAGATCTGGGTGCACAGGAGAGAGATGGCTTGGGGAAAGAAAAGCTAGCCGTGCAGTTGTGAAGGCCAGGAAAGGCAGAGGAGCGTATTTATTTCTGAGGGTGATGCATTTACACGCCTGTTGGCCTGGGCCAGGGCAAGTCCACACTGAGGGCAATCCACCTCAAAGGAGCTTTCATTTGCATCTCTGCAGTGACAGCCACAGATGACAGAACCTCGGCCCTGGGGACAATGAGAGGAGCCATTCATGCCGTGCCAGGAGCTCGAGGCCATGCCAAGCAGGGGCATTAGAATGTGAGAGCGAGGCAGGAAGCTGTGGCCCGGAATGTTTTGAAGAGACAAAAACGAGAGACATTCATGTGGAATGATCCTGTTTGAACACCACTTTGAGACACACTGTTTAAGCTTGGATGAGTCGACCCTCGTTCTCCCCTCTGTCTTTCCCTCAACCCCATAAGACATTTGCAGGGTCAATGACACCACACTAGTGGCTATAATTGTAAAGAATAATTTTCAGGAATCAAAAGGCAGCTTTCCCCAGCAACATGTGAAAACTTGCAGATTGTAGTCCAAAGGCCAGAGCTAATAGAAATAACACTGTCAACTTGTTTATATTTCCTCATTTTAATACGCTGCTGCAAAGATCACTTTTTGCATTACTGCTTTTTTGGAAAACATGCTTGGCTCTGTTACTTCTGTTCCAGATTGACTTTGAGAAGAACATTTCTATTACTCA